TATATATATAGTTTTTCCTTTTACTTGTACGTATTTGTGTCTCTTGAATGCTAAAACTGAATTATTTTTATAATTTTGTCCAACAAGTATTTTTATTTCTATGTGTTGCATGCTTGTGCCTCAGTTTAGCTAAAAGTTAAAAGTTTAGTTTAAAACAAAGGCAAGGAGGAAAACATTACCTGTACATTTATTTTTAACTAAACTTTAAGTTAAACTGCAGCAACACAAACATAACACAAAGAAATAAAAAGACTTGTTGGACAAAATTATAAAAATAATTCAGTTTAAGCATTCAAGAGACACAAATACGTACAAGTAAAAGGAAAAACTATGTAAAATATATATTAAAAAAACATTAAAATTTAAATTATGTGTAAAAATATATAATTAATTGGAACTAAGCTGGAAAAATAAATATGAAGGTGAATTAAATGAAAAAAACACGAGGTAAAGTTCTCCTTTTTAATTATTTGGTGCATTTTAAATGTGTTTATTTATTTATTTAAAGGTTCATTTATCTATTTCTGCTTTTATTTCTAATTATGTCAGTGTCGGTCCTCCGTACTGCAGAACATGAAGAGGTGGTTCAGTGACTGAATCAGGTGTGTTGGAGCAGGAAACGTGCAAAACATGTAGGACTGTGGCCCTCCAGGATCAGGACCACCCTGGTCTAGAAGGAATGTGAATGTGGTCGTGTTTCATAGAGCGCTACCTCTTTTTTACCTCTTCTTTCTTATGTTTTTTTTTCCTGTTCTCTCTCAGGATCTACGAGTGTAATAAAAGGTGCAAATGCTGCGCTTCGATGTGCACCAACCGGCTGGTGCAGCACGGCCTGCAGGTCCGCCTTCAGCTCTTTAAGACCCAGAACAAAGGCTGGGGCATCCGGTGTCTGGATGATATCGCTAAAGGCTCGTTTGTCTGCATTTACGCTGGTGAGAAACACAACCCCAGTTAAAGGTGGTGGAGAACAGACGTCTTTATGACTTCCTGTTTTGTCTTATTTCCCGCCACTTCAACAGGTAAAATCTTGACGGATGACTTCGCTGACAAAGAAGGTCTAGAGATGGGCGATGAGTATTTTGCCAACCTGGACCACATAGAGAGCGTGGAGAACTTTAAGGAAGGCTATGAGAGCGAGGCTCACTGCTCCGACAGTGAGGGAAGTGGAGTGGACGTGTCCAGAATCAAAATCCAGCCGTCTGCTTTAGTTTCTGGCAACAACGTGGGACGACCTCCCAAAAAGCGTGAGCCCAACATCGAGAGCTTCTTTAGTCCTCAAGATAAAAGCTGATGTTTTCATCCTCTGTCTTTTAAAAAAAAATTTAATATTTATGTCTGTCACGCAGCTCGAAGCTCGAGCTCTTCAAGCAGCAGCAACAGGGACGACAAGGACTCGAAGAGCGACGATGAAAGCGACAGTTCAGACGACACGTTTGTGAAGGAAAACTATTTCAACTCCAGTTCTGTGTGGAGGAGTTACACCACACGTGGGCAGGTCAAGGTCAATAAAGAAGGTAAAAATGCAGCTTTCTTATACAACTTATAGACCAGAGGTGCCCAAAGTGGGGCCCACGGGCCGAAATTGTCCCACCAAGCCATTTGATTTGGTCCACCAGCAGTTGTTCTGGTTACTAGATTATAATCTTCAGTCTTATGTAGAAACACTATATTTCCACTTTTCAGCCACTGGTCCAACTATAAGTACAAGGAGCTGTAGTCAGATAGTCTTAACTCATGGAGCTCACTTTATCTTTCAATTATGTTAAGATTAAATATAAAATACAAGTAACTTCAAGAGACATTTAGATTAAATTTAAGTTCAAATCTAGATTTGCAGACCACATATACTCAAATTTTAAATTGGGAAAAGTTTCATGAGCTTTTGTTCCCCGAGCAAACGTTGAATTTTCTCCATGTCCATGGGCTGAAAAAAAAAAAGGCCAAACAAATGAATGAATGTGGACGTCTGCACTGGCTGCTAGCTTAATCATAAAAAATACAACTTTACTTGAAGTATTTGCATCTCATATATAATATTATTGCATTTGGCTCACCACCGTCAGGTTGATTTTAATTTTGGCCCTCTCAGGTAAGTGTTTGGGCACTCCTGTTATAGACGATGGTTTGGCAGGTGGCAGCTTCTGTTGTTCAGTTTCCTTAAAGAGAAAATTAGCATTTATTCTGTGTTTAATTTCTAAGCTTGTGACGGTTTCTTGAGCCTTTTAAGAGATTTTATTGTTTCGTTTATTTTGGTTTTGGTTACGGGGTGCCAGTCAGGTCTCCCTCCTGACTTGTGGGACATTTTTGTGTGTGTTTTGTTGTAATTAATTTCTTTTTTTTGTTTGTTTGTTTTTTAGTTACCAGTCACACAAGGACGCATATTAAATAAATAATTTACACCCTTTTAAATTAAAGAAAAGATTGACAAAAAAAAAATAAAAAAACACAAAAAAAAGCAATAATTTCCATTTTTCAGGTTTTAGTAGTATTCAAATAAAGAAATGCAACCCCCCTAGTGTCCATATGTGGTATTATAACCACAAGGTTTTTAAGTCCAAACAGAAGATCGAGTTCCCACAAGTTTCAACAAAAAAGAAGAAAAAAAAACTACTCCACATCAAAGTGAATAATAAACATGAAACAAAACTTACTTGGCAGTTGTATGTTTCAGTGAGAAGTCTTGGATACGATGTAAATGAAAATTTGGCCACACTAAAAAAACAAAACAAAGTATTTCGTTTTTCTATTACTTACATTTACTAAACGCACACAAAAAGGATTTTCAACTTTAAGGGGAGAAACTCGCGTCTGAGGACTGGATAACGTGCGTAGCGTAATGACATCATCAGTAGGCACTTCTCCACCGCAAGCAAGGATTTCCCTTTTTCTGGTGGCGTGACGCGGTTACATCATTCCCCGGCGTCAGCTCCAGTGAGGGATATTTCCTCACAAGCGTTGACAAAAAGTGATTTGCTTTAATCGGTCCTCCAATGATGTGTCAGACAAAGTATACACGAGGGTTTTAATGGCCTCCTTCTTTTACTTTGGACGCTGCCAAATCAGTATATATATTTTCCTCAGGTGAATGAATGAACAGAGTGACGGAGGCGTATGGGCTTAACCTTGCGGGCCTAAAATACCATACAACGCCTTTAAAAGTACACAATTTAAATGAAGTGCTGCTTTTGAACCCTTTAGAGTAAATTCACAGGCTTTGTCTCTTTTTAAAGCTAATAATCTGAATTTTTTACTTCAGCAGTCATATTCTTTGTAACTGTAACCAATATTTAGTATATTGAAGTAAAAATGCACAAAAATGAAGATATTTTTCTCCCTAAATTTGTATTTTTTATTAGTAAAGTATCACCTTGAAAGGAAGGAGATATTGATGAAAAAAATGTATTGGGCTAAAATGTAAATTCCCAACTATTACCAGTTCAAATTTGGTAACTGTAGCATAAAATATCAACATTTGAGACATAACACAATCCAGCATGTCCTATTTGCATATTGGTAAACATTTACAAATANTATTTAGTATATTGAAGTAAAAATGCACAAAAATGAAGATATTTTTCTCCCTAAATTTGTATTTTTTATTAGTAAAGTATCACAGAACATGAAAGGGAGATATAAAGAAACATTTTTTACTGGGCTAAAATATTAATTCCCAACTATTACCAGTTCTAATTTGGTAACAGTAGCATAAAATATGAATATTTGAGACAAAGTACAATCCAGCATGTCCCATTTGCAGATTTGTACACATGTATAATGTGTCCAAACTGTACACTTGGTCTAAAACATTGTAATTTCTAAAAGCTTCAACACACGGACTTCACTCTGGGCTCAAATTAAAGATAAAACCCCCACAAAACACATTCTACCATCCATATTTACTCACAGCATGGTTAAATTACCAAAAAAGTTATTAATATTCAGAATTATTTATACCAACTGGAGTACATTCAGCCAATCTCCACCAACAAACAGTCAAAACACAACAATAAACAAATATATCCTTATTTTTTTTCAAAGCATTAACAAAACAAAACAAAATTAACGATTCTAAATGGCCGACCGGAAGTCTTATTATCCGAACATTTTTACTTCTCATGGTCACAAAAATCACTCTTCCATGTCTTGAAACACTCGAAACACTTCATAACAAATATATTTCGACTGTAGCAGTATGATTAGTCAGCTAACTGTCCAAAAAATGATGTAAAAACGTTTTCTGTGAGTGTTGTTTTGTCCACTAGATGGCGCTATCCGCATACAAACTACGACAATCTCAAACAAAGGCTTGTAATTGGCTACACAAAGTTCCCACCCCCTCAAACTCTATACCAAATGAAAGGTAAGGTGATTGGCTACACAGCTGTGGCATCAGAATGAAGCTCGGAGCTGATTGGCCAATTCTGCAGTCAATCTAGCCCAGGCTGACGAAACAGGAAGTTGGACTCTGGAGGGCTGACAGATGAACCCAGTTGGTCAAATGAGGTGTCATTCAAAAGGGGAGGGCCTTGACGTCCATTTTGAAGCATTGATGATGGAGTTATGTTGCTGAGAAACGGAGCACGACGCTTTGAAATAAAAACGTTTGTTGGTTGGTGCAGCCACAGGTTGTCACAAGCTTATAGCTGGATTTGGGTGAAGTCTGTGATGTTTCCTTCACTCTACTTTCCCTCCTGCCTCAGGGAGTCAGGACAGTAAAGATGGATTGAGTGTTTCCAGAGGAGCAGCTGGTGAAAATCCTCCACTGATCCCAGAAGAGACGGGGAAAAGCAAAGTGGCTTCCTGGCTAACAAGCCAGGGGATCAAGAAGGTGTGTAATCAGACCGAACATGTGACTGAAGTTTTTATCTTAAAGGTAGAGAACAGTTTAACAAAAAGACATGTTTTTTTTCTTTAGATATATAAACTTTTAAAAGGAATAAAACCTAACTGCTTTGCTTTCATGAATGCTTTCCATGAAGCTGCATAATTCTGTCCATTATTTTCCATGACAGGACGCCGAAGTCGGTCAAACTAAGAAGCTGGAAGTGACGACGGTCTCTGACAGCGATGATGTTCAGACCATCAGCTCAGGATCTGAGGACAACAAGGACAGAGACCAAGTCACTCCAGGTGGACATAAAACAGAGGCAGTACCAGACCGTACACATTTCCTGATTATTACATTAGGGCTGAAACGATTCATCGAGTAATTCGATTACAAAACATCCTGGAGGCAAATTATCTGCCTCGATCAAAGCTTTGTAAAAAATACATAATTTATAATCAGTGCACTTTAGTCCGGCTGGAATGTTATTTGTGTTACACAATGCTATGATGTTAGCGCTTCCGCTAACAGTTACACTGTCGACGCGTGTATGCTTGCTAAGAGTTATATTTAGCTTTAGAAGAAGACAGAGTGTCAAAACAAAGTGCTCAGACAAATTATAAAAAGCATGGGAACATTTAAAACTAAACAGAAAAGACAACAACGCGCAATGAGCTTCACATCCTCGATGTTTGTGCCCCATAACAAAAACAGCAGCTGCATGTACCGAACACGTCCAGAGTTAACAACAGGTATTTGTTTATGTTCCTTTTGGTTACTTCAGTCTGTGATAATCTGTCATGTTACAGATGTACAAGGAGGAGGTATATTTAAACTGTGCTGACTAATCATGGTGACCTGGCAGGGTTTTATTAAACAGTGTGTAAGTTGTGTGATTAAAAACAACACTTACTGTAAGTTTGTTAGATAAAAATAAAAGCACAGCAACAGATCGACAGCTTGAGCTTAAACACATTTATTTGTTGATATGTTTTTATCTTAGTTTAAATGATACCTTTAGTGAATATTTCAAGTTTAAAAGTATTTACAGAAAATAGTTGGATTATTTTTTAACTATTTGCTGCTTTTTATGATTTCAGTCTTTATTACCACTGTCATATTTGTTTGTAGCTAAACAGTCAAGACTAAATCTTTAAATGGGAACCCTGCACCAACCTAACAGTTTTAAAATATATATACAGTGGTTTGCAAAAGTATTCATACCCCTTGAACTTTTCCATATTTTGTCACATTACAACCACAAACATAAATATATTTCAC